ACACACACAGAAGTGGATATATATATATATATTTATGTTTATATATATATATGTATATATATATATATATATATATATGTGTGTTATATATATATATATATATACATACATACATATATATATATATTTATTTATTTATATATATATGTTTATATATATATATATATATGTATATAGACGAATGTTTGCATTTAAATATTGAATTTGACTGGGATATGCATATATATACTCAATGTACACGTGTTCAATTTCACTTTTCATCAATTTATTTTTGGCTGAATTTGTACCAACGCATATTTCTGAGTATATCATTATTATATAGAAAAAAGGTATACATGAAATACCATCAAAGTACATAAATACAAATTGACGTTTTTCTTTTAGCTTACAAGCAAGCAGGTATCTGGCCTTAGTTTTATAATATGCTTTTACCTGCGTCTAGTATCTCCGCACATAATTCGACTTCGATAGTGAGTAATTAGTCCGATAGGCACACGGTTGTAACGTATGCCTTTGCAATGCCTCTGAGCTACTACGGTACAGTGCACTTTGTGAACCATCGCTCTTGCTATCCCTTTCCTTCAGAAATCACATCAACAAAGACGGCTCACGACCTCTTAGAAGATGTTTATGAGATCCGCCGCACCATTTCAGAGGTATGTTGGGTGTCTCTTTTGTGAGCTATTGCAGTACGTAATACGTTCGACTTGAATGCCCTGATCGAAACGATGCTTCTGGTATACTGAGATACGATGGCTTTGAACGATTTGATGGATCACAATGGTCGGGGGATTAAATCAGTTGTGTATTGCTTGTACCGGCTAGTAGTCTCATTCTTTCGACTGCCGTGCATCGTATGACTTATCAGATTGTGAAGCATGCCTATCGAGTGGTAGCCCTGCAATTCCCCGATGACATGCTGGCTGACGCACAGTGTGTGAGTGACACCATCGCCTCAGGTGTCAATGCCCAAAGCCCTGACACGCCCAAGGAATCTGGGGATGCATGCCGTGTGTTTGTGCTTGGCGATACCACATATGGCAGCTGTTGCGTGGATACAGTGGCGGCGGAGCATGTCAAGGCCTCTTTAATTGTCCACTATGGCGAGTCGTGCCAGAGTCTGGTCACCAAAGTGCCGGTGCTCTATATATACGGACGCGCGGAGTTCGCCACGAACATGGATGAAACTGTGAAAAGTCTGAGAGAAAACATCACTGAGGGGTCGCGCGTGGTGGTGTTATACGAGTGCAAGTGGCAATGGCGTATGCAGGGACTATGTAAAGCATTGGCCGAGTTTGCGCATGTGACAATGTCAGTACTGAGGTCAGAGGCTACAGGGGAAGGTACATGGTGTGTGTCTGTGCGTGTGTTGTAGATGGCTTGTTATGTGCAGTCTAACCGAAGCTCGAGGGAATGTTCCGAATTTTCTGTGCCGTGGACGTTTAGATAGTGACAACAGTAGACCATGTTCGGCAGTTAAGTGTAGTCTATTGGCTATGCCACAGTGTTGTAACTGTTACAGTTGACTGACCGAGTTGGATTGGGCTGAATGTACGGCTGAGCTGTATCAAGGAACGCGCGTCAATTCATGGCTCGTGGGGTTATGTTATACACTACGGTCGAAGTTTTAGTGTTTATTGTGGAGTTTTAGCCGTGTTTTATGTGGTGCAACGGTGTCACGGCATCCGCTTCCTGACCCCATATGTACCTATTCCCAATTCACATTCGCGATATTGGTTTCACCTGTTTACATTCACATCGATATAGTCCCAAGTGTTTGTCGGTCAGTGTTGAATCATCTGATACCTTTAATACACGGCCTGTAACTGCATACGACTGTCACTTGCACGTGGTTAATTTGTACACCATTCACTGACCAGCCTTTGCATTGCTTTGCTCCCAACCCACAAGCAGAAGACAACGCCACAACAGTACTGGGCAGACTCATACCGTGTGAGAAATCCGACGAGCCACACCACGAAGCGAACAGGGGAACGCTGGACGAGGCATCCTCTAGTGAGGAAACCACGGATGATAATGAAGGTGGTTTGTACAACTTCAGCGATACGACTGTTGTATGGGTTGGGCCCCAGGGACGTACGCTCACAGCGCTGATGCTGAACATGCCGTCTGCCCATCGGTTCGTGTCATACAACCCACAGACGCATGACTGCCTTTTGGAGGGTGAGTTGCGTAGGCGAGTTGGAGTTCTCCCGGAGTATGTTGTGTTGTATGGTATTGTGGTGTTGTATGGTATGGTGGTGTTGTATGGTATTGTGGTGTTGTATGGTATTGTGGTGTTGTGTGGTATTGTGATGTTGTATGGTATTGGAGAGTGAGGTGGAGTGGAGTAGCGGTATCATAATCTAGACGTTCTTGATACCTTCGCTGGAAATAACTCATAAACGTCGCGTAGGTGTAGGCATATAGACTACACACTGTATCCTGCGCCGTGTGCAGTAACTACCGAACATCCCGACTGCAGATCTCTAGGAAAGAGCCGACGGGTGTCCCGTGAGTCCCATACTTATTCCATAACAAAAACATACCCACATCTTTCACGTGAATAGGCGCCACGGTCAATAAGTCATTGATGCGAAGATACTTCCTGGTGGAGAAGTGCAAGCAGGCGCAAACTGTGGGCATCCTGGTAGGCACTCTAGGCATCGCGCACCACAACGAACTACTGGCACACATCAAGACCATTCTGAAGGCCGCCGGGAAGAAGTATGGGCTAGTGCGCTGTGTCTGTATTTGTTGTGTGCTTGCATTTTTACTATGCAGTTTAAGCGCGTGTACATGACTTGCGTATGTATATTATATTATGGGCATGCTCATGGCCATTTGAAAGTCGAGGATTAGGAGTGTGTGCAGAGAATACGCGAGTTCGCCCTTGGGATTTAGGCATGAATAACGTTTTCGTACCAGACGTACTATCATTCACCATTTGGTGGTCGCATCTATATCGTTGTTGCAAAGCGTTAGCACTCTACACGCCACGTCATCTCACGTCTTCTATTATCTGCACTCATCCTAATAAAACGTTTTCGGGCCCTTCTCTCCACACCTTTTTATTATCAGATTCTACACAATCGTAATCGGAAAGATCAATGGGCCAAAGGTAGCGAACTTTCTGGAAGTGGACGCGTATGTGCTGGTGGCCTGTGCCGAGAACTCGCTCGTCGATTCGAAGGAGTTCAGTGTACCTATCGTAACGCCGTTCGAAATGGAGTTGGTACGTTCCACACAAGAGTGTATACGCACAAATAAGGAATTGAATAGCCGTGGCTGTACAATACCTGCTACCCATATCGTTCATTTGTATTTAGAGACCGTATTACATCCGTATTCTCGCACTCATCTAGTACGCATTCCGTTCGCAGGCGTGTACACGTGGCAGAGAGTGGCCCGGGCGACTGCGCACCGACCTGGAGGAAGTGTTGCCGCAACTGTCTGGTGGGTGAGAGTTTGTCAGTCCAGTGATGGATGTTGTTCGTACAGCCATTGAGTACTATAGGTCTAGTGTGGGTGTATGTCATACAGTGCTTCTGGTCTCTCTGTGTGTGTGTGTGTTTGTGTGCCCAGTTATATGCGCACGCCCTTATACAACGCACCCACCTCTACCGCATTGCCCGGCTGAAGCTTTGATATTTATAGTTGAGTTCTCGTGTTGTTTCTATATACATTTTGTGTGTTAATCCATACCCCAGCGTCTCGGTATTAGATGCAGGCCCGTCTGGCATTAGACCTACTTTTGGGGTTCTCGCTCAACTCATTCTCGTTTCCTACCTATCTAGACTACATTTGAATACGTATAGCTATCCCCTCCCTCCAGGGAAAGCATCGGTATCCTTTATCCACATACCGTTTCATTAATCCAATCTACACACGCCTGTGTTCACTTCTCAGCTGCCGCAGCAGAAACGCACAACGCCACGAATGAAGACGATGATGTACCCGAATTCTCTGCGTTAACGGGAACTTATGTGTACCGCCCCAGTGCTCAACAGACCACCACGACGTCACGAGAGGGTATGTATTGGAATGAAAAAGCGGTTGTTTTTACATACAGACCCAAAGTATAGAACGTTTACACCACTTTTGTCGGCAAACCGGCAGTGCACAACCCCTGGGTTTTAACGGTTTGTTGTCTCTCTCATTGCGCAGTACAAACGAGGGCTGGCGGTGAACTGGTGGCGACGGGGACTGCGGCGGAGTATATGATGACGCGCACATT